TGTCTTACAGGGGCATTACTCTCATATCAATACCCTGTAAAGTCTACACGTGTATACTGAACTGTAGGATACAGAAGTGGTTGGAGTCAAATAATATTCTTGTGGAAGAGCAAAATGGTTTTAGACCTAAGAGAAACTGCACTGATCACTTATATGCACTTTATAATATTGTTAATAACCGTAAAGCCTCTAAACGATCTACGTATGTCTGTTTTGTTGATATTAAGAAGGCGTTTGATAGGGTTAATCGCAATTGCCTTTGGTACAAGCTTATGTCTGTTGGTATTCATGGTAAAATGCTACAAGCTGTACAAGCCTTATATATGGACGTAAAGTGTGCAGTTAAGCTCAATGGTTTTATCACTGAATCTTTTAATGTTACCTTGGGCGTTAAACAAGGATGCAAGTTATCGCCAACGTTATTTTCCGTTTATATTAATGATTTGGTGTTAGACATGAATAAGTTAAACTGTGGCATACCTATTGAAAGTTCTGTGTTATCAGTTTTGTTGTATGCTGATGATATAGCCTTGTTAGCTGAAGACGAAGACTCGTTACAGAAAATGTTAAATGTTTTAAATATATGGTGTCATAAATGGCGTTTGGATATTAATTCAGACAAAACCAAAATCATGCATTTCAGAAACAAATCTGTGGCTAGATCTGAGCGAGTATTTGTATGCGGCAAATCTATTATTGATTATGAAAGCTCTTACAAATATCTTGGTTTAACTTTTAATGAGCATTTAGATATGCACAAAACAGTCCAGGTACTGTGTAAATCGGCTAGCAGAGCTCTTTCTGCGTTGTATTCAAAGTTTAAACACGCGGGTGGCATGTCTTACGAAGTATTTAACAAGCTTTATAAAGCTCTTGTAGAACCTGTTCTATTTTATGGTGCTGGCATTTGGGGTTTGAATAAGTATAAGGAAGTAGAAATAATTCAAAATAGGGCTTGTCGTTTGTTTCTAGGCGTAAGAAAAAATGCCCCAGTTACTGCTATGAGGGGGGACATGGGCTGGTGTTCTGTGAAAGTGTCACAGCACGTTGAATGCTTTAGATTATATTTTAGAATTCAGAATATGCAGGCCCATCATCTCCCTCTTATCATTCATAATTGGTCCAAAATCCGATCACAATCCTGGGATAAAAAAATCGTAAACATTTTAGCTCACTATAATTTGTCAAATTTACCTTATTGTGGATACAGCATTAAACAGTGTGTTGACCGTGTAAAGTGTTTCTTAACTGCTGAAGATTGTGATATGTGGTATACTGCGCTATGGAATGACAAGAATAATCCAAATGGCAATAAATTACGCACATACAGAATGTACAAATCATCACCTACTGCTGAGCCTTATTTATGTCATGTACGTTTTAGAGATCATCGAAGACTTTTAGCATCCTTTCGATGTGGTATTTTACCTTTACATGTTGAGACCGGCCGCTACGCCAAGCCACCTACCCCACTGTTGGATAGGACTTGTAAATATTGTCACGCCAATCCTACTAATGATCATGTAAATTATGTTGAAGATGAATGTCACTTTTTAATAGAATGTCCATTTTATGATGATTTAAGATACAACTTAGCTAAAGAAGCAACTTCTGTAGATAAAACATTTCATTATATGAGTAGTTTAGAAAAGTTTATTTTTATTATGAACGAAGAATCGCTCCAATGTATTTTAGCCAAATCAATTTACAACATGGTTAAAAGAAGGCAATTTCATTTTAAGCCAAGTATGTATGTATGACTTGTATGTATGTATGTATGTATGTATGTATGTATGTATGTATGTATGTATGTATGTATGTATGTATGTATGTATGTATGTATGTATGTATGTATGTATGTATGTATGTATGTATGTATGACGTGGTGTGTGGGCGGCGCAACGCTGTGGGGGGAGTTAAGGGGGAGCGCACTGTTTAACTAAGGACTTTCGAAGTCAGTTGCCCTGTATCCTGGCATACTGGTGCGCTCTTCACTGAAACCGCCCACGGCCGTGCTCCGCGCCTGCATCACGAGGTATGTATGTTTTATTCTGTTTCAACTGAATAGTTTTATGATTGATATGTTTTATAGTGTCTCGTAGGTCATATTTGGCCGGATGTTATATTTTACTGTTTTGTATATATCGTATTACGAAGTGTATATAACATGTGACACTTTAATAAACAATATTCTCTCTCTCTCTCTCTCTCACTCTTCTCGGCTGAGGCCTGGGAAGAGACCGTGCCTTCCCACGCTTGACCCCTTCCCCACCAACCCACGCCCAAACTTTTCCATATTATTGAGTATTTTTTTACCACCCACTCCCACCCAGCCAAACCCCCTCCCCCCGCAGCTTTATTAGATTAGGTCTGTAAAAGTTACATTTTTGGGGGTCGCACTTCTTTATTTATTCATTACGTTTTTTTTCTCCCAATAGTATAAAGTGCTTCCCCGTGTGCGAAATACGCTATTAGTCGGAAAACGCACGTTAAATCTCCTAGTGTCACTCACTCACTCACTCACTTGTAAGGGCGTTTCAGTTTACATGTTGCCCTTTCATCAGGCGATTACGTCGTGTGCATACAGTTGTTGATGTTTACAAAGGGTTAGCAGGAGTGATGTAAAAACAATATAACAAAGAAGCTGATTATCAAACCAGGAAGTTTGAGACCGTATGAATATTTAAACACCGATGGCTGCTTCTATTTGAAAATCCATTTGGTGATGGGACCGTTGTTTGCAGTAGATCCATTTGTTTGGGGAACCCATGCTTCACTGGTTCCGCATTTACACAAAAAAGGTTTCTTGGAATAAATCAACAATGCCTTGATAAAACATACATCAGTAGGCATGGGCTGTAAAGACATTTGTCGGTGTAAAATAGAGAGTGGGTGAAGTAGGTTTTACGCCTCTTGGAACAGTATTTCATAACGTTTACCACATTTGGGACATCCCAGAGTGGAAGTTTGGTGATATCAAACCAAAGAGCACAAAGACGCGATCATCCTCCCTGAATTCACATTTACTTAAGACTGACTGACTGATCATGTGGCGTTGTCCCAGATATCGTGGGTTGTCCAGATTGGCCGTTGTGATATACATCACCGTAATGAGGTGAAGTGGGGTTGAATGTCGCCTTCAAGAGTATTGTAATTAAAACGTGTAGCGATGTGTCTGTGTGTCTGTCCGTCCGTCTTGTTTGTTTGTTGTTTATTGCACTCATATCTGTTTGTTGGCTATTGCACTGAGTAATATTCAAGCTATATGACAGCGGTCTAAATAATCGAGTCTGGACCAGACAATCTAGTGATTGACATCACGCATTTGGGATCGATGACATGCATCAACCAAGTCAGCGAGCCTGACCACCCGATCCCGTTAGTCTCCTCTTACGACAAGCATAGCCGCATTTTACGGGAAGTATTGATTGCTGAAGACCTGTTCTACCTCAGATCTTCACGGGTCGTGTGCCTTTGTACCAGCCCGGACTAATGATAGCCAGTTGACAACCAAACCACAGTTTAAAATGGATACCCAACTCAGAGACTGTATACTGACTCCGAGCCTGCCAGTTCTGGTTGTATCCCCTCAATGCCGAGCGCCAGACAGGGTAACAACAAGTACTATCGTTTGACGTAATTCGATATGACGCAACCGGGAATCGAACCACCGATCTTCCTCGCTCCGGGCAGATGCTCTATCCACTACAGCACGGAGGCACCCCACATCGCTTCAGCGTGAATATTGCTGACTGCAGCAAAACCCGTCAATCCTTTCAAATTTGTTAAAACAAGATCAGTATGGGAGGTCCACACAAAGATAGGTTTATGTAGGGATAGCAGTGGGGTTAATGTACTCGCTTGTCACACTGAATATGTAGGTTCGAGTCTCCTCTTGGTATAATGTGCGAAACCAAATATTCTTTTCTCCAATTATGATATTGCCGGCCGAATATTGCTAAGATCTGCATAAAAACAAACTCGCGTTGTCGAGGATACACATACACAAGTAAAAACTTGGTCCCTGCCTGTTCCTTTTTTATTTATCCTTTTTCGGATGTGTCGAACCTCGGATATCTCGATCCCTTCAACTTCGACACAACGGTGTTTGACTGCATTGTAGTGGTAGGGTCTCTATCAATGGTTTTGGAACATTTTTAAGCAGAGATTCCTGGATTACAGAATTATGAAGTGTATATGGCGATGAAAATGATATACCCGTATGAGCGTATCGTTCTTAAGATATGCCTTCAAAAAGGCATACTTGGTTAGTGTCAAATAATCACCGCTTCAACAGCAACAACAGCAACAACGACGACGACGATGATGATGATGATCTTTCACGTGTTCAATAATCTCATTACACCTATCAAATGGGGTTGCTGGGTACCTTTCTCAACCGGAATCCCTAAGGATGACTTTTTATTTTACCATACACATTTCCGGTTGGAATGGAGTAAGACCAATGACAATACATATCCCGTTCGCGTTTTACGGTATAGATAAGAATACTCAAGAAATTCAAAATCAAGGTGAAACATAATTTGCGCTGAGACTTGTCTTTTTAGATGTCTAAAAAAACCTAAACATTGTTTTTAGGCACGCCGTGAACACAATCGAAACATGTTAATTCTCATCAAATATTACAATATACAGAGGGTAAAACCCCACCCCCACCCCAACGACTCATGTTTCATACTACCTGTCGTACAGCTCATAATTAATTAATTGCTCTATCACAGACAGACATACGTACCTGTAAAGTACATTTCACCTTGCCCAGCGTTTACATTCACTGTAACATGAGTGCTGTCCTTATAAAAAAATATCTATGAAAATTAAGTCAGATACGTTTTTAAAGATTTTTTTTAAAAAGCCTTAGGCCAGGCCAATACATCTTGAGCTAAATGAATCGCAGACAGTTGGGTAATAAATTATGACTGGTTGAAGCTGCCGATCTATTTTTATACGAGCACCGATACCCCCTATAACCGGTTGTCACTTGTTCAATAATCTCATTACACCTATCGAATGGCGTCCCTCTGTAAACAGTCATTAATACGAATTCACAGGGGGTGTGATGATTGAATGTAAGAGCATACGACGACTGTCCTCGCTGAGATTTTAATAGTCGGTGGATAAACCACGACCTCCCGGCTCAACTGAACTGACGTTGTCTATGCCGCGACGTTGAAATCCGAGAAGGCTTGATAAAAGTGTCTCGTTATCGACGCACAGTGACTGGGTGTCATTAAAACTGACGAGGTAAGTTTCATTTGCTGTCGAGATTATAATGATAAGTATATTTTCCATACTTGTAACGGCAAGTGCTGTCGTGATTGCCGCCCCTGCACGCGATCTGTGAATGAAAGGGAATATGCCAAAAGATGAAAGGTTGGATACAAGAAATCACCCACAGTTTGGGAAGGTCTCTTCTATGACCAGAAGTATTTGCGTGATGTTTTTCTACAGTAAGTTTGTAGCCACCTGCAATATGAGTATATAATTAATACCAGTATGACCCCGGTGACAATTACAAAATTACCTGTACTTTTGCTTCGCAATAGGTAACACTATATATTAAGCGTTTGGACGCGTAGAGTGAAAATGTTCGAATTTTAACAGGTGGAAATGTCAAAATAATAACATTTCTTTTCCAGAGCAGTGAAGAACAAGGATTTGGATCAGGCAGGTTGACATTCGGACGCATTCGGAGTTTATATTGGGACTTCGCATTCGGAGTTTATGTTTGGACTTTTCAATTGGAGTTAATATTTGAACTTTTCATTCGGAGTTTATATTTGGACTTTTCATTCGGAGTTTATATTCGGACTTTTCATTCGGAGCTTTTATTCGGTCTTCGCATCGGAATTTATATTTGGACTTTTCATTCGGAGTTTATATTTGGACTTCACGTTCGAACTAGCATTCAGACTTTTCACCGGAACCGTGTTGAATCGCTCAGTCTGTGGATATTTGGTATAAAAGTCATTATACTTGTTGTTTGCGTGGACTGCTTGGGTTAAGAGGTTTGAAGTTTAAAAGGTGAGTAATATTTTTACTTGAAAAAAAACCATATTTATTTCATATTGTAGCTTTTAAAAGAAATGTATACACTCGCCTGTTGTTAATTAAGACAACCCATTACCAAATATTGCAATTCAGAAAAAATATGTTTTGGACTTTGGGCACAAATATGAATTACATTTATTGATTTTACCAACTGTTGTTTTAGTCCACATCAAATATTTATTGTGAGATCGATACATTATTATATAACAGCGACATGTTAGTGATCGTACCTAGCGACCTGATATGATTCTTCTGTTGTCCTAGCTTTGATACATTAACACTTACGACAGTCGAAGAGCTTCCTTTGAATAACGGGACCTTCGTACTCAGTTAAAAAGAGGATCATCTCTTGTAGAGACTATGTATGTTCGATTCAAAGTTTGCTTGAGAACCGCTTGAAATGGGGATCGAGTGGATACAATGTCTGACGCAGCTGAATGTATTGTGATACACGATCGTTGGTCATGCTGTCAACCACAGACTTGTCTGGTCAAGATTCAATTGTTTGCTGGCTTTGAAACAACATTAATTTTCTATATCAATCACTCCTGTTTATAGAGTAACCTTAATGTATTCTTGAAGGCTTAGTTGTCTTTCCAGAGCGGGGCGGTCGGGTAGCCTAGTGGTTAAAGCGTTCGCTCGTCATGCCGAAGAACCGGGTTCGATTCCCGACGGGGGTACAATGTGTGAAGCCCATTTCTGGTGTCTCTCGTCGTGATATTGCTGGAATATTGCTAAAAGCGGCGTAAAACCCAAACTCACTCACTCACTCACTTTCCAGGGCCTAGGATGAATACAAACACACACACGAAGAAACTTATACCAGTTAATCTTATCTACGAAACTTGCCATTAAGATAGGATTGCCAGTTTATGTAATATTGTTCTCAGTGAACACAGGCCTCTACACCTAATTCGATTTACAATCCAATTTCAAAGATCAGTTCATCACAAGTCAATCGTATACACGTCATCACAAGTCAATCGTGTACACGTCATCACAAGTCAATCGTATACACAATGACACAAGTCAGTCGTATGTATACACAATGTCACAAGTCAATCGTGTACATGTCATCACAAGTAAATCGTATACACAATGACACACGTCAGTCGTATACACAATGTCACAAGTCAATCGTATAAACAACGTCCCAAGTCAATCGTATACACAATGTCACAAGTCAGTCGTATGCACAATCTCACAAGACAATCGTATACACAACATCACAAGTCAATCGTATATATAAACAACGTCACAAGTCAATCGTATACACAATGTCACAAGTCAATCGTATACACGTCATCACAAGTCAATCGTATACACGTCATCACAAGACAATCGTATACACGTCATCACAGGTCAGTCGTCTACACGTCATCACAAGTCAATCGTATACACAATATCACAAGTCCATCGTATACACAATGTCACAAGTCAGTCGTATACACAATAGCACAAGTCAATCGTATACGCAATGTTACAAGACAATCGTATACACAATATCACAAGTCAATCGTATACACAATATCACAAGTCAATCGTATACACAATATCACAAGTCAATCGTATACACACCATCCCAAGTCAATCGTATACACGTATGACCCGATGTCATCTCGATGGTCCCCATTAGGATTAACGGCATTAGTTGATCTGTTAAGCTGTTATATATATGTGTGTGTACCATATACTTGACTGAATATATCTATCTATATATATATGTGTGTGTGAGTGTCTGTGTGTGTGTCTCTCTGTGTGTCTGTGTGTGTACATGATGAAAATCATGTAATACACTAGAAACGTGTGATACACTGAGCATGTATAGTAAAACCTCCTTTATCCGGACGATAACGTTCACGACAGTATAAACACGTTTCTGGAATAACAATATCCGTGAGGGATATATAACTTTGTGATGGATTCATTTCTCGCTTGTTAGTGGTCGAAGTAAGAAATTTATTGTGGTATCCTCAGACACATAATGCATTTTACGGCTACATACCGTTAATACGGACGGTACAGTGAAATATCCGGATATACGAATAAAGGATCCCAGGTATTGTCCCTTCAATTAACAGGTACGTGCGGGAGGCAGGGGTTCCCGACTGTGAATAAAAGCAACACAACTCTTTCCATAGTCATAAGAAACCTCTTCTAAAAGCAGAGTCAATTGTACGAGTCCGACTATATAATGTGTTTATGAAGCATTATCATTATAGTGATGAATCCAGGTGTTCTCGAAAAAGTAGCACCCGTCACAAACACATGCAATGGCTAGTCAATTTTTCTGAAAAGAAAACACACGGGAATATATTTGGCACAAGCCAAAATAGAGAATTCAAAGGATATATATTTTGTTCCTGATGTGTGTCTAAAAAACCGTTTTAAAGCTTTACTAAGGCCTTGAATAGTGTAGCCTTGATCAAACAACTTTTGAGCATGAATCGTATGACAAAATTTACAAAATGAGATCGTATTAGAATAAGAATGTTGATGTTGTTCATATTCGTTGACATTTTTTTACACCTCGACAATTGGCCGAACCTGTTAAGTGAGGAATGTGCACTTACTTCGATACCTTGACCTATCAATTTCAATTCCTGTTGCGTTTCCCTATTACACAGTCATTACAAGTAATCGTATGATTTACGACTATGATATTATTCATTTAATTACCTAATACAAAGTGTTACCCCATGAATATAATCACGAATGTAATATCTAGTTACACGTAAGGGCTCTCACGTTAAAGCATTAAGATTGACACTTCACATGCAATTGAGTTCAACACGTCCCCGTTGCCTTTTGATATGCACTTGACGTTCAATGAAATAGACACGAATCATGTAATAAAATGAACAAGTCAATTCAAGATTGTATCCGTCTTAAGCGTGTAAACAAACAATCTTAAACAGAAAATATCTGTTTAATACTGTATCCATTCAATCGAGAGTAGCAATCAAGTAGCGTATTTATCAAGAACGAGTCATGTCAATAGACAGACCTACCCAATTGGAAATGTAACACGTCAATCAGAGTGAATGCACCGCTATAATACAACATGGCCGATAACAACTGGGCGGGTTTCATCGCCCCAAGCAGGTTATTAGTTTAGTGATTCGCATATGAAATATTGGTTTAACTGGACAGGGTCATAGAAATATTTTTCTTTGGTACTGACCGCCCATTAAGACCACCCTCCAAGTATTGCTGGACATATTGTGAAGAAACCGACTTTGTTGGTCAAGGTTTATAATGGACTATGCTTATTATTGAGCGGCAGGGATAGGGAAGCCATACTATGACTTGATATTAAAAAGAACGAGCCCCGAGGCGGTTTAAGACGTTAAGTCCATAGTCAACAACATGTTAGTAACCATGAAATGTATGTGTACATTTTATACATGTTGAGGAACACTGAGCCCTGTGGGGCTGCGAATCAGTGCAACTTCCTTGTCATAGTCAATGGTGAGTATGATTGTGAGAGATGACTTAAAAGGCTGCGAAGAATGAATAGTACAAATAATGAAAAAATAGTACTGGTAAAGTATTAATAATAGTATTATGGATAATGCCAAGAGAATCAAACAAGCCTAGTATACGTATAACTAGTTAAAGTTGAATAACGCTAGCAAAATAAGAATACAACTGAAGTATGACTCATTCTATTCAAGTCATTCGTGACCAACTCGTGTTATTCCGGGACAAGCCGAATAGCGACTCGTGCCCCTCTCATGGGCTTTTTTGCGACCGGGTTCCGTCTTAACGCAAACGGGCATACATAAAACAATTGTTGCGTAATGGTTCACATATATTTCCCCATATATTATATATATTTCAGATGCAATTTAAAACACATCGGGACGTGCGGAATTATACAGTGTGATTGATCACACTTCACTGTGTCCTGGGTATATTATTATGAAGAACTTTAAATCATACGCGCATTCTGATTGGTTTGTCGTATTTTCGTACATAACATTCATCGATAGGGGGACGACATTCGTCACCACTCGCCCCTTTCCGTAACCTGCAAGAAGACTCGTCCCCCTGTCGATGAATGTTCTGTGCGAAAATACGACAAACCAGTCAGAATGCGCGTATGATTTCAATTTCATCGTCAAAGAATCCCTCAGAAATAATTTTTGATTTTACATATGTCTTGCATCTAAGAATATACCCAAGACACAGTTAAATGTGTTCAATCATACTGTATAATTCCGCATGTCCAGATGTGCTTTAAATTGCATCTGAAACATATATAATATATGGGGAAATGTATGTGAACCATTACGCAACGAGTTGACTATTGTTTTAGGTATGCCCGTTTGCGCTAAGACGGAACCCGGTCGCAAAAATGGCCATGATTGGGGCACGAGTCGCTATTCGGCTTGCCCCGGAATAACACGAGATGGTCACGAATGAGGGGGACGAGTCTTCTTGCAGGTTACGGAAAGGGGCGAGTGGTGACGAATGTAGTCGAGTATGAACGACTTGTAGAGGAGTGGGAGTAATGCTAATGTAGTGTAAGTAACGTTTGTTGAATGTGTGTAATGTTAGTAGAAAATAAGTAATGCTAGTAAAGAGCAGCACAACACTAGTAAAGTGCGAGTAATGATATATAGTAAAGTATAATTAATAATGCCAGTAAGGTATGCTCAAAACTATGAAGGTATGAGTAACGCTAGTAAAGTATGAGTAACGTTAGTAAAGTATGAGTAACGCTAGTAAAGTATGAGTAACGCAAGTAAAGTGTGAGTAACGCTAGTAAAGTATGAGTAACGCCAGTAAAGTGTGCGTAATGATACACAGTAAAGTGAAAGTAATAATGCTATTAACGTATGAGTAATGCTATTCAAGTATGAATAATGTTGGCGAAGTATGCATAATACTAGTAGAGTATGCTCATAAAGTATGCCTAACACTAGTAAATTATTCATAACACCACCAAAATGTGAGTAATACTATTC